TTAGTTCAATGAAGTGTTCTGGAATACCCATTCTTCACAATGTTGTTCATAGTTTGTTATGATCCACACAATTGAATATCTTTGCATAATTAATAAAGCATAAATTAACTTCTTTCTGCTATGCTCTGCTTTCAACTAAAATCCATTTGATGTCAGCAATGATATCCCGACTTCCACATCCTCTCCTGAATCCCACTTGAATCTGTCAGCATCCTGTTTGTGTACTGATGCAACTGTTTCTGAATTATCTTCAGGAAAATTTTACTTGCATGCATGCGGTACTAATGATTTCCATATTCCTTTGAGTTGTCTTTCTTGGTAATGGGCACAAGTATGAAGTCTTCCAGTCAGCTGACAAGGTCTTCCATATTGCCTGACATAGATATGTGAGCACCTCCAGTGCATCTCAGTTTGTTGAAACATTTTAATTTGTATCCCATCAGTTCCTGGAGTCATGTTTTTCACTAGTGCTTTCAGTGTAGCTTGGACTTCTTCCTTAAGTACCATCTGTTCTTGATCATAAGTCACCTCTTGAAATGGTTGAACATTGACCATTTCTTTTGGAATACAGTGACTCTATATTCCTTCCATCTTCTTTTGATGATGTAGCATTTAATATTTTGCCCGTAGAATCCTTCAATATTGTGAGTCGAGGCTTGAATTTTGTCTTCAGTTCTTTGACCTTAAGAAATGCTGTGTTTTGTTTTTTTTTTTTTTTTAAACTCCAAGTCTTTGCACATTTCCTTGAAGTACCTGACTTTGTCTTCTCAAGGTGCCCTTTGAAATGTTCTATTTAGCTCTTTTACTTCATCATTTCTTGTAGAGGCTTAGTTTCTCTATGTTCAAGAGCAAGTTTCAGAGGAAGATTGTTGTTATTGTTAAGTGCCATCGAGTTGGTTCAGACTCACAGTGACCCTGTATAGGGTTTCCGAGGAGTGGTAGTGAATTTGAACCACTGACCTTGCAGTCAAGCACTTAACCCTACAGCACCACGTAGCCAACAGTTACTGATAAAATCATGCTTCTAGTTGTTGTTGTTGTGTGCCGTGGAGTCGGTTCTGACTCATAGCAACCCTGTACAGGGTTTCTGAGGATGTAAATCTTTATGGGAGCAGAAAGCCTCATCTTTCTCCTGTGGAACAGCTGGTAGTTTCAAACTACTGACTATGAGATTAGCAACCTGATTCGTAACCACTACGCTACCAGAGCTCCATCATGCTTCTAGGGGCAAGCTTTATAAAGAAGTCCTTGGATTTTCTCAACCACTTCTAGCATAGTTCCCTTCACCTATAGCTGTAGCTCATAGTCCCTGGGTGCAAATGGTTAATGCACTTAACTGCTAAAAGAAAGGCTGGTTTGTTCGAGTCAATCCAGAGGCATCTGAAAAGTCAGATCTGGCAGTCTACTCCTGAAAAATCAGCTATTGAAAACCGGAGAGACTACAGTTCTATTCTGCCACATGTGAAGTCACTTTGAGTTTGAATTGACTTGACAGCACATTGTGTTGTAAATAACTAGGACCAACTGCCTCTCACCCCCCCAGTAAATATATTCCTAAGGTAAATTGGTAAAATACTCCAATTTTGCCTTTATTACCCAGATCTCTTGTGCTACAGTGAGATAATGTTGGGATGGTAAACAAAAGGTCAGCAACACAAACCCACCATTGAAGAAAGCTGAGACAGTTCGCTCCAGTATTGACTACAGCCTCGGAAACTCTATGGAACAATGTTACTCTGTTCTATACAGTCACTGGAGTCCTGGTGTGGTGCTGTGGGTTAATGCATCAGACTGCAAAGCCGTTTGAACTGCAAGGTCAGCAGTTCAAGCTCACCGGCTGCTCCTCGGAAACCCTATACAGGGCCCCTATGGGTCAGAACCAAGTCGATGGCACTTCACAACAACAACAACAACATAGAGTTACTATGAGTTGGAATCTACTTGAAGGCACTGAGGGTTTTTTGAGTGGGTCAAGCTTTCTATAGCCACCTTAATCTCTTCTTTAGTGGATGGGCTCAACCATGGTTCTCTTCCAACCACCTACCAAAGTGGGGAGCGCAGTGACTCGGTAGGATAAGCACTGGACTGTGAACCACAAGTTCAGTGGTTTGAGCCCACCAACTTCAAGGAAAAAAGATGAGATTTTTCTGCTCTGCAAAGTTTTACAGCCTCGGAAACTCTATACAGGGTTGCTGTGAGTTGGAACAGACTCTATGGCACCTAACAACAGTAAGGCAGGGAAGGTTTGAGACAACTACGGAATATAGATTTATATTTGGCCCCTAGAAGAACCACTAAAAGAAATATTTTTTCCGTATGTCCTTGTCCCAGTATCTGTCCTTCTCCACCCTTTTCCCATATGACTTTGTTGTTGTTAAGTGCCACCAAGTTGGTTCCAACTCATAGTTACCCCGTATAGGGTTTCCAAGGAGCAGCTCGTGTGCTTGAACTGCCCACCCTGCAGTTCAAACCAACCTTGTAGTCGAGCACATTAACCCGCAGAGCCACACCAGGACTTCATATGACTTTGTTGTTGTTGTGAAGTGCCGTTGAGTCGATTCCGACCCATAGTGACCCTATATAGGGTTTTCGAGGAGCAATTGGTGAGCTTGAACCATTGACCTTGCAGTTCAAGCGGCTTTACAATCTGGCGCATTAACACACAATGCCATATTTAATTATTTCTGCCTAATCCCTGGTATGGCACTATGGGTTAATGTGCCAGACTGCAAAGTCATTTGAACTGCAAGGTCGGCAGTTCAAGCTCACCAGCTGCTCCTCAGAAACCCTACACAGGGTCGCTATGGGTCGGAACCGATTAGATGGCACTTCACAAACAACAACAATCCCTTGGCAAAATTCCAATTTGCCAGTAGCTTTTCAACCATAAGAACAATT